CAGGCATGGCGGCACAGGCCTATGATCCGAGCACTTGGAAGGCAGACACAGGGTGATTACGGTTCCAGGCACCCAGCGCTACCTCGGGAGAACGCTTATTCAAAAAAGTAAAAGTCTGGCCTGTTGCTGGCGGCGCACACCTTTGATCGCTGCATTCTGGAGGTAGAGGCGGCAAAGGCAGCCTGATCTGCATACATAGCGAGTTCCAGGCCAGCCAGAGCTACTCAGTGAGCACATAGAGAGACCCTGTCTCAAAACAAACAAACAAATAAAAGTGACTCAAAAGCCTGATGTGGTGACTTAAAGCTATTGGCTTGCTTCTGCTTTCTGCGTGCTGGGACTATGGGCCTGCACCGCGTGCCTGCCTGTCAACTCTGTTTGGTTTCAAAAATGGATAAATACACAGCCGCTGACTTAGTTACACTGTGGCTGCTGCCCATCTCCTGACGCCCGTCCTGCCTCAGGCCAGCCTCCAAGCCCATCACATGTCAGTGAGAAGCCGTCAGCACACACAGCTTAAGCAACTTGCTCCTGGTCTCAGTGCTATAAACTCCACACCCCTCCCGCTCTGGTGGGCAGCAGGGTCTTCCTGAGTCACCACAGCTCAAACTCAGCAATCCTCCTGCCTCGGCTTCTCAAGTTCTTGGGTTCCAGCCGTGCACCACCACGACCGTGTCCGGCAAGGGGTCCTTTTTCCTAACAAGACGTGGGGATCTGTGGGGGGTTCATTTGTGCTTCACTGTTCTTCTTTCTATTGTGGAAGAAAAAAATGGAAACCACAGAACGTACAATTTACCATTTCAGCCACTTTCAGTTGTTTAGGTCAGCAGAGTTGAGTGTATTTACACTGTTGTGCAACCAAACCCAAAGTCTATTCCCAAAATGTTTGCATCGTGGCAAACCGAGGCTCTGCGTGATTTGTGATTTTTTTTTAAACTGGGAGAAGCTGACATGTGACGGTCAGCCCCCTGCAAGCATCTGGCTCGCGGTTATATGATCACTTAGGCGGAGATTCCATCTGAAGATCTGTGTGGAAACAGAGTGCTGGGCATGGGATTGTGTGTCATCCCAGCCCCCGGAAGGTAGAGGCAGGAGGATCAGAACCCGTGTCAGTAAACAATAAACAACAAATGCACAGGAGACCCCAGTGTTCTCAGTTATATTTCCACTGCAGATGAATAGGTAATGTTTAATTTTTTTTTTTTTTTTTTTTTGGTTTTTCGAGACAGGGTTTCTCTGTGGCTTTGGAGGCTGTCCTGGAACTCGCTCTGTAGACCAGGCTGGCCTCGAACTCACAGAGATCCGCCTGCCTCTGCCTCCCGAGTGCTGGGATTAAAGGCGTGTGCCACCAATGCCTGGCTTGGTGTTTAAATTATGCATTTGGTGAAATTCCCCAATCTGGCATGAGGCGCATTTAAATTAATTTTGTTGATTGTTATGGTTTACTCTTGAAACCATAGAACTCAAGAGGCTGAGGCAAAAAGAGTCATAACAAGACCTTGCCGTAGCTGGGAGTCGGCGGCCAAGACTAAGTGCTCAAGTGAGGTCCTTAGGGTCACATGGTAGGAGGAGAACCCACTCCTTAAAGCTGAAGTTTTCCTGTGATCTCCACAGACACACACACCGCATACATACACATCTACAAACACACACACACACACACAACGTACATACACAGAGACACACACACATCCAACATACATACACATACATAGACACACACACACCACATCCACAGACATAGACACATACCCACACCACATACATACACACCCACAGACACACACACACACACACAAGGTATATACACAGAGACACACAACATACATACACAGACACACACATCCTACATACATATACATACATAGACACACATACACACCACATATATTCACATCCACAGACATACACACAGGCAACATATACACACATCCTACATACATACACATCCACAGACACAGACACACACCCACGCCACATACATACACACCCACAGACACACACACACCAGGCATGAACATACACACCCACAGACACACACACACCAGGCATGAACACACACACACACAAGAATAAACATAACTAAAAGCGATTAAGGGTTACTGGGATGGCTTAGTGATGAAAGGTATTCTCCAGAGGACCTGATTCAATCCCAGCACCCACATCAGGCAGCTCACGTCCCGTTCCCGGGGAATCTGACACCTCTGTGGGCGCTGCACTCACACACCAACATGCACAGACCCCAACACAGGACACAGACAGACACACACACACATAATTAAAAATATACTTTAAAAACATTGCCAGACAGTGGTGGTACCCGCCTTTAATCCCAGCATTCAGGAGGTAGAGTCAGGCGGATCTCTGAGTTTGAGGTCAGCCTGGTCTATAGAGTGAGTTCCAGAACAGCCAGGGCTACACAGAGAAACCCTGCCTGGAAAAACCAAGCACAAAAAAGTTAACTAAAAGAACTTAAAACCCAAGCCAGACATGGATGAAGGCCTTTAATCACAGCTATTCCAGACTCTGAGGCAGAAGGACCACTATTCCAAGGTCTGCTTGGGTTGCTTAGGGAGACCTTGTTACAAAATAAAAAGTACAAAGGGGAGAGAACCTGGAGAGATGGCTCAGCGGTTAAGAGCCCTGGCTGTTCTTCCAGAGGACCTGGGTTCAATTCCCAGCACCCACATGGCAGCTCACAGCTATCTGTAGCTCCAGTTCTAAGGGATCTGGCCTCTTCACACCAACACACATAAAGTTAAATTATTTTTTTAAAAAATGCAAAGGAGGGCCGGGCACGCTTTTATTCCCAGCACTCGGGAGGCAGAGGCAGGCGGTTCTTTGTGAATTCAAGACCAGCCTGGTCTACAGAGCAAGTTCCAGGACAGCCTCCAAAGCCACAGAGGAACCCTGTCTTGAAAAACCAAAAAGGAAAAAGGAAAAATTACAAAGGAAAGCCGTGGTGGCACATGCCTGTAACCCCAACATCTGGGAATTGGAGGCGGAAGGATAAGAATTCTCCATCATTCTTGGTGATATATTGAGTTCCAGGCTAGCCTGGGCTACATGAGACCCTGTCTCAGAATAAAACAAAATGAACCACACCCTTCCCCACCAGCCACGCACACACCAATTGAGATCGTGGCCTCAATTCCCAAAGGGAGAAACAGAGTCCAGGAAAGATCTGGTGGAGACACGATTTCAATCTGTCAGCCAGCCGCCTGGGAGGGCAGGAAGGGGGGGCAGGCGAGGGTGGACACGGCCTTTGACTGTCAGCGTCACCAGCCCCATCTCTTTGAAGTTCTGCCAAGAGGAGTGGAGAGGTGACCGAGTGAGGTCTCTTCCTAGCAGAGTGGAGCACAGAGGGACAGAGGGACAGAGCGATCAAGTCCCCAGAAATGTCCCTCCTGGGATGCAGGCTGCAGGCCCTGCCCTCGCTCTGCCTCTCCGTGCTACTCCTGGCCTGCCTTGTAGGTGAGGAGTGGGGGGCTTGCTGGAGTGGGGCGTGACTGTGGCTTCATCAAGTGGGGTGGGTCAGTAGCCATGTCAGACGAGTGTCACACACACACACACACACACACACACACACACACACACACACTCGGATGGAACACAGGGCCTTCAGATGCCAGGCAAATATTCTACAACAGACTGGTTTTTTTTTTTTGTTTTTTTGTTTTTTGTTTTTTTACGAGACAGGGTTTCTCTGTATTGTTTTGGAGGCTGTCGGTCCAGCCTGGCCTCGAACTCACAGAGATCCGCCTGCCTCTGCCTCCTGAGTGCTGGGATTAAAGGCGTGCGCCACCAACGCCCGGCCACAGACTGTTTTGTTTTGTTCTTTGGAGACTTGGTTTCATGTAGTCCGGGGCTGGCTTTGAACTCCAGCTATAGCTAAGGATGATTCTGACTTGCTAACTCCCTGCCTCCATCCTGAGGTGCTCAGACTGCAGGCATGGTCCACCACACCTGCTTTCTGTGGTGATGGGCATCAAACCCAGGGCCTCGTGCATCCAGGACAAGAACACTCCCAGCAAAGCCTTGTCCTTAGTGGCTCGGTCACAGCTGAAGCTGTGACAAACGTACATGTCGTACTAGGGGCGACACCAGTATGCTTTTTGTTGTTGCTGTCTAATACTGTTTATTTGTGATTTTTTTTTTTTTTTTGGTTTTTTCGAGACAGGGTTTCTCTGTGGCTTTGGAGGCTGTCCTGGAACTCACTCTGTAGACAAGGCTGGCCTCGAACTCACAGAGATCCACCTGCCTCTGCCTCCCGAGTGCTGGGATTAAAGGCGTGCGCCACCAACGCCCGGCTTTGTGATTTTTTTTTTTTGTTCTCAAGTTTTTTGTTTTGTTCTGAGACAGGGTCTCAGGTAGCCCAGGCTAGCCTTGAACTCCTGATCCTTTTGATTCTACCTCCTAAGTACTAGAATCACAGGTGTGCAAGGATGGACATGTGTGTTTGTGGCTCTCTATGGGGAACATGTATGAGAAGTTCTAAGTGTGTGGCTACAGCGGAGGCTATTTCTGTCTGTGTGTTCATACATAGCTTCTAGGTGGTGATGGCACTGTGAGTTTGAGGCCAGTCTGGTCTACACAATGAGTTCCAGGTGAGTCAGGGTTAAACAGTGAGATCGTGTCTTGCTTTTTTTTTTTTTTTTTGGTTTTTCGAGACAGGGTTTCTCTGTGGCTTTGGAGGCTGTCCTGGAACTCGCTTGGTAGTCCAGGCTGGCCTCGAACTTACAGAGATCCACCTGCCTCTGCCTCCCCAGTGCTGGGATTAAAGGCGTGCGCCACCAACGCCCGGCTTGAGATCGTGTCTTAAAGTATACATTTTTGGGGCTGGAGAGATGATTCAGAAGTTAAGAGCACTGACTGCTCTTCCAGAGGTCCTGGGTTCAATTCCCAGCAGCCACATGGTGGCTCACAACTGTCTGTAACTCCAAGATCTGACGCCCTCACACAGACATGCACGCAGGGCAAACACCAATGCACATGAAATAGACACCAATGCACATGAAATAGACACAAATGCACATGAAATAAACACAAATGCACATGAAATAAACACAAATGCACATGCTTCTCCCATAGGCGGTGCTGATGGCCTTCCAGAATCTTCCCTGTGTGCTCCTCATCTGCTTAACTCAGTGTCTCTTTCACAGGGTGGGAAGGCGGGTCTTGGGCTGGTGAAGTCATAGGTGAGGCTTATGACAGCAGGTGACAGAAGTGTCTTGGTACAAGACTGCATGTGTGGCCAAGTGTCTGGAACCCCAGCTCTTGGGAGGTGGAGGCAGGGGGATCAGGAGTTCAAGGCTAGCCTTGCAGGGCAAGGTGAGGATGTGTTTTAGTTGGTAGGGTACTTAGCTAGCACACAGGAAGCCCTGAGTTCCAGCCTTAGCGCTGCGTGAGCTAGGATGGGAACACACACTGCTTTGGAGGTCAAGAGACTCAGCAGGTTTGGGAATTCTGCTCAGCAGGTCAGAAGTTATCCTCGGCTCTAGGAGGCCAGCCAGGAAACAAGAGACCTGTCTTTAAAGCAAACAAGCAAGCAAACAAACACATTAGAGGCTGGGGGATGGCCCAGTGGTTAAAGACACGTTGTACTGCTCTTGCAGAGGCCTGGGGTTCGGTTCCCAGGCTCCCAACTGCATAGAAGCCCAGCTTCAGGGGATCTGGCGCCTTTGACCTCCGTATGCACTGCGCTCTCTTCCACACTCATACAGACGGGGACACACACGTAATGAAAATAAGTCTTCAAAAAATGGTAAAACAGGTCGGGCATGGTGGTGCACATCTTTAATCTCCCAGCACTTAGGAGGCAGAGGCAAGTGGATCTGTGTGACTTTGAGGCCAGCCTGGTCTACAAAGTGAGTTCCAGAACAGCCAGGGCTACACAGAGAAACCCTGTCTCAAAAACACAAAACAAAACAAAACAAGTTAGGGACTGGAGAGATAGCTCAGCATTAGCTGTTCTTCCAGAAGTCCTGAGTTCAGTTTCCAGCAACCACATGGTGGCTCACAACCATCTGTCATGAGATCTGGTGCCCTCTTTCCGGCCTGCAGAGATACATGCAGGCAGAACACTGTATACATATTAAACAAATCTTAAAAAAAAAAAGTTAAAACAAAAAAACCCCACAAGCACTGGGTGTTGGTGGCGCACGCCTTTAATCCCAGCACTAGGGAGGCAGAGGCAGGTGGATCTCTGTGAGTTCGAGGCCAGCCTGGTCTACAGAGCGAGTTTCAGGACAGCCTCCAAAGCCATGGAGGAACCCTGTCTCTAAAAACAAACAAACAAAAAGTGTGTGTGTGTGTGTGTGTGTGTGTGTGTGTGTGTGTGTGTGTGTGTAGGAGAATTGTGACCCAGAGGGACTGAAAGCAAATCTGGGGGGCAGCTGGGGGACAATGGGCATCTACCATTGTCCATGATAGATGATGAATTAAAGTGGGCTTTTCCTTCTAGGTGCCTGGAGGCTGTAGCTGCCAGTTTTGTGGGAAGACCTGGCAGGCAGGGGCTGTTCCGAACCAGGGGCCATCCTTGGGCAGTAGGGTTAGGGTTAGAGGAGACAGGTACCACGTGGGGAGGTAGAGACCGGGCAAGGAAGGCTCAGGAGACAGCGAGCCAAGGGAGGGAGCAGTGGTGGCAAAGGGGAGATGACCGGATGGTGGGAGAGAAGGCGACAGGGTCAGGGGTCAATAAACCAAGCTGGTGGCCAGGGACGGGCAAGGGCATGCCAGGCACAAGGCGGTTTCCTGTTCCCTCGCCCCTCCCTCAAATACGAAGTCATCGTGCCCCTTTCTACAGGATGGGAAACTGAGTCAAAGGCAGGGGAAGTCAGGTGTGGCCTGTGACTGTGGGTGGCGTGGGTGTCTTGGTCCAAAGGTGAGTTACGCCTGTCCTCAGGAGTAACACGCAGGGAGAGGGGAACGGGCTTCTGGGACCCTGACCCACTCAAGCGGGTCTGTGATTTCCCCCAGCACCCGTGACTCCAGAAAGCCTGGTCCCCACGCCCAGCCCTGAGAACAGCCGCTGGAGCCTGGTAAGGGCCAGGGTGATGGAGATGGTGCAGCCACTGGTGACCAGGACCAGAGACAGATGGCAGTGGTTCTGGTGAGAGAGCTCTGGTACTCAGAGTTAGAGGAAAGAGAGCCAGCGGCTGACCCTGGTCTGAGGGAGGAGGCTGGGCCTGGACCCTGGGTCTGAGGGAGGAGGCTGGGCCTGGACCCTGGGTCTGAGGGAGGAGGCTGGGCCTGGACCCTGGGTCTGAGGGAGGAGGCTGGGCCTGGAGCCCTGGGTCTGAGGGAGGAGGCTGGGCCTGGACCCTGGTCTGAGGGAGGAGGCTGGGCCTGCACCCCTGGGTCCGAGGGAGGAGGCTGGGCCTGGACCCTGGTCTGAGGGAGGAGGCTGGGGCTGGAGCCCTGGGTCTGAGGGAGGAGGCTGGGCCTGGACCCTGGGTCTGAGGGAGGAGGCTGGGCCTGGACCCTGGGTCTGAGGGAGGAGGCTTAAGACTCTGGAGTCTTGAGGCTGAAGAAGATCAGAAGTAAATGGGTCATACGCCGGTGGCCTCTAGGGTGTCAACTAAGATGTCCCCTTCACACAGGGGCCCCGGGGCTGTCCAGGGCTTTGTGCAGACCTACTATGAAGACCATTTGAAAGACCTGGGTCCCCGCACTCAGGCCTGGCTGCAAAGCTCCAGAGATCAGCTCCTGAACAAGACCCACAGCCTGTGTCCCCGGTTGCTCTGCAGGGATGGGACTCAGGGTTAAAGTGCCACACACCTCCCCTGGGCACCTGCAATAAAGCTGTTTGTTCTTAATCTGTGTCACCCGCTGAGTAGCTCCTCTTGAGGCCAGAGGTCACTCCTCGTCATATCTAGGAGTTAATAAGTGGAAAAGCCGTCACCTGTCACCTGACAGGAAAGGACACTAGGAAAGCATTAGGGGAAGGGGACAAGGTGACAAGTCCCCCTCTCAAAACGGTTCCGGCTTGAAGTCAGCAGGAGACTTCCGGGTGCCTGCTCAGATCCCGGAGGTTAAAGGTCCACATGGGTCAGAGGAAACACATCCCCTCGATTCTTAGACCATGCAGATCTTAAACCCCTATCTAAGTGGGTTCCCCAAATCCAAAATCCCCTTTACCACGCCCAACCATCTCCCCCCAGGAAGCAGGGGTTTTCTCTCTTTCTTTTGGGAGGAGGCTGTGGGGGAGGTTCTAGGAATTGAACCTAGGGCCTCACACATGCCAGGTAAGTGCCGATCGCCAAGCCACATCCCCAGCCCACTTTTAAAAATTATGTTTATGCTGGGTGGTAGTGTCCCATGCCTTTAATCCCAGCACTCGGGAGGCAGACACAGGTGGATCTCTGTGAGTCTGAGGCCAGCCTGGTTTACAGATCGAGTTCCAGGACAGCCAGGGCGTTGGTCTTGGTAGCAATCTCCTTTCCATGACGAGCCAGCTTCCCAGAATTCTTTTTACCTTCATATATATATTAGACTGGCTGTCCTGGAACTTATCATGTTGCCCCGACTGGCTTTACTTTTCATTTCAAGCTGGGCATGATGCTACAAACCTGTGATCCCTGCACCTCAAGACCAGCCTCAGCCACACAGAGAGTTCCAGGGTAGCCTGGGCTACATGAGACCCTGTGTGAATAAAACAGAGTCACAGCCCTTTTGTTTTCAGATAAAATCTTGGTATGTTGTCCAGTGGTTTTTTTATGTTCTGTTTTGTTTTTCGGGTTTCTCTCTGTAGCTTTGGAGGCTGTCCTGGAACTCGCTCTGCACACCAGGCTGGCCTCAGACTCACAGAGATCCCCCTGTCTCTACCTCCCGAGTGCTGGGATTAAAGGCGTGCGCCACCAATGCCCGGCTTGGTTCTTGCGCTCACTCTGAATTCATGATCCCCCTGCCTCAGCCTTCTGAGGGAGCTTGGGGTCACAGCTCTGCCCAGTTTATGGGTAGCTTTTTCAAAACGGGGCTTCCCTGTGGTTTGAGTTGGCAGGGAATGTCGCTGGCCACTGCCCTTCCAACCCTGCCACCCCACCCCCTCAGCGGCTCTGTTGGCCAGGACTTTGGCCTAGGACAGAGGAGCTAACTGATATGGAGGGAGGGGGCCCTCCAAACCTATAAAGCCTGCCAGCCCACTGGAGTTAGCGAGGACAGTCCCAACCTGCCCGTTATATTCAGGTAAGAGAGGGGCAGGGGGCGGGAGGCAGAAACATCGGGGAGGGGCAAAGGTCCCCTAAAAAGACGTCACCTTGTTAGAGGTCTGTCCAGGAATCAGGGAATGGAATGATTTTTATTTTATTTTATTTGAGACCAGGTCTCACTATGTAGCCCAGGGTAACCTTGGACTTTTGATCCTCCTGCCTCAGCCTGGTCAGGCATGTTCTGGTGTGCCTGACTAAAGCCATGGAGAAGTCTATTTGTTTAGCTTGGCTCTTTTCCCAGGTTTAATCTCTACCTCTACCTTTTTTAAAATTTCTTTTTACTTATATTTATGTGTATGAATGTTTTTGCCTACATGTATGTCGGTGTAGACTTGGCTCTCTGAAGAAGAGAACATTGGATCCCCTGGGACTGGATTTACAGACAGTTGTGAGCCGCTGTGTAGGTGCTGGGAATTGAACTCCGGTCTTCTGGAAGAACAGCCAGTGCTCTTAACCACTGAGCCATCTCTCCAGCCCTGATTTCGGGCAGTCTCGGTTGGTTTTCCATTCCCAGAGTGTGGGTGATGACTTTGTGCCCTGGTTGTATATAAACCTCAGGAGACGGGAGAGGACAGGTGACAAGACCCGGAGGGAAGCTCAAGGAACGGAGGACATTAGAGTCACAGGTGCTGGTGTGAACTCTGTCCCAGGGACTCTTTCTACCCTGTCCCCCTTCTCTCTCTCTCTTCCTTCCTCCTTCCTTCTTTCTTTCTTTCTTTCTTTCTTTCTTCCTTCCTTCCTTCCTTCCTTCCTTCCTTCCTTCCTTCCTTCCTTCTTTCTTCTTTTTTGAGACAGGTTTTCTCTGTGTAACTGCTGTGGCTGTCCTGGAACTCTCTATGTGGACCAGGCTGGTTTCGAAACATTCATACACATAAATATAAGTAAAAAGACTGCCTGCCTCTGCCACCACCCAACTAATTTCCTTATTTATTATTATTATTATTATTATTTTGGTTTTTCGAAACAGGGTTTCTCTGCATTGTTTTGGAGGCTGTCCTGGAACTCACTCTGTAGACCAGGCTGGCCTCGAACTCACAGAGATCTGCCTGCCTCTGCCTCCCGATTTCCTTATGTTTTAATTGTATTGTTTTGTGTATGTGTGCTCCTGTTGAGGTCAGAGAACAATGTGCAGGAATTGGTTCTCTCCCTCCACTGTGTGAGTTCCAGGGATTGAACTCAGGTCCTCAGGTTTAGCGGCAGATGCCCTTACCCACGGAACCATCCTCACAGAATCCCCAGTCTCATTCTCAAGGGTTTAGCAAGAATTTGTTTGTTTGTTTTAAAAGGGTTTATTTATATTTCCTACTAATTCAGGGCTGTTTAGGCCTCACAACAGCTTTCCTGCGTGTGTGAACGAATGAATGGAGAGATGTTTCTCAGTTTCCTTGTCTGGGTCTCAGTAGCATGTAGAAGGTTCTGAGTGGCATCTCCTCTACTTGAAAAAAAAGTGTTGCCAGGCATTGGCGGCACATGCCTTTAATCCCAGCACTCTGGAGGCAGAGGCAGTTGGATCTCTTTGAGTTCGAGACCGGCCTGGTCTACAAGAGCGAGTTCCAGGACAGCCTCCAAAGCCACCGAGAAACCCTGTCTCCAAAAACCAACCAAATAAATGTTCTCTGACACTGTGGTACATGACAGTAACCTCAGCACTCCAGATGCAGGGGATTGCTGTGAGTTCAATGCCAGCATGATCTACTTAGAAATATTTTGGTTTTTTATTTTTGTTTTGTTTTCGTTCCCTTCCTTCCTTCCTCCCTTCCTTTCTTCCCCCTCTCTCTTTTTCTCCCTTTCTCTCTCTTTCCTTCTTCCTTCCTTTCTTTCTTCATTTTTCAAGGCAAATTTCTCTATGTAGCTTTGGAGACTGTCCTGGAACTCGCTCTATAGACCAGGCTGGCCTTGAACTCACACAGGTCTCCCTGTCTCTCCCTCGGCAGTGCTGGGATTAAAGGCATGTGCCACCGCTGCCCGGCTTTATTTTTGTTTTCTTGTAAGAAGAGGAAGAATCAGGAAGAAACTGTCAGATTCTAGAGTGCAAAGCTGGACTTTAGCTCAGTGGATAGTGCACTTGCCTGATATGCTCAGGGTCCTAGGTTCAGTTACCAGTAAATCACAAAACTGGGTGTGGCGGCACACACCAGTGATCGAAACACTTTAGAGGCAGAGGCAGGAGGATCACCATAGTGTTTAAGGTCATCCTAGTGTACTTAGTCAATTTGAGGCCAGCCTGGGCTATGTGAGACCTTGTGTTAAAAAGAAATGGGGGTGGGGTGGAGGGATGGCTCAGTGGTTAAGAGCACTGGCTGCTCTTGCAGGAGACCTGGGTTTGGTTCACGGCACCCACGTGGTGGCTCAGAAAACTCTCTAACTCCAGTTTCAGGGGATCTAATTCTTTTTCTGGCCTCTTCAGGCTCTACATATACACTCTGTACTGCATGCAATTATATATATGTACTTGCAAAACACTTATATACAGTTTTTTTTTGTTTTTTTTCGAGACAGTGTTTCTCTGTGGCTTTGGAGGCTGTCCTGGAACTAGCTCTTGTAGACCAGGCTGGCCTCGAACTCACAGACATCCGCCTGCCTCTGCCTCCTGAGTGCTGGGATTAAAGGCATGCGCCACCAACGCCCGGCTATATACAGTTATATTATTATTATTTTGTTTTGTTTTCCCCCAGATAGGGCCTCATTCCATATAGCTCTGGCTGTCCTGGAACTCACCTGCCTCTGCTTCTCAAGTGTTGGGACTAAAATCATATGCCACCATGCCTGGCTTCATACACACACACACACAGACACACACACACAGACACACACACACACACACCATCAACCCCCAGCACTTGAGAGGCCAAGGCAGGTGACTATGTGAGTTCAAGGCCAGCCTGGTCTACATAGTGAGCACCAGGGCTACATAGTGAGAGCTTGGATCTTCTCTGCACCCCGAAACTTCTACAGTAGAATTCCAGTCGATACCTCACCTGAATTATCAACAGGCTTCGTTTAAAGTCCTTATTGGGCAGGAGTAGGGACAGAGCAGGGTCCCTGCCCACCCCCCAGAGAACAGGGCCTGGGAACACACTGCCCACTGTCTAACAGGACTCTGTCCTCAGCGCCGCGCCGCAGGTCACAGACAACATGAGCTCTCGCTTCATCCTGGCTGTCTTCCTTGTCCTGCTGGTGCTGGGATTCGGTGAGTGGGGCTGCAAGGCGGTGGTGAGGGCTGGGTGAGCATCTTTTCTCCTTCCTCTGCCACTTCTCTTCCTCCTCGTCACCCAAAGCTCTCCTCAGGGCCTGCCATATAACCGTCACCTTGTGTTTCCCACAGAGGTCCAAGGGGCCCAGTCGCTCCAGCAAGATGATTCGGGCAGCTCAGCTCTGCTTGGCAAGGTGCAGGAGTCCCTTTCCAGTTACTGGGACACGGCTAAGGCAGCTGCCCAAGACCTGTACCAGAAAGCGTACCTGACCAGTGTGGATGAGAAGCTCAGGTGGGTTCTGCCCAGGGGAGACTCCCTCAGACACAGGGTCTAGGCCTCATCCATCTGCCTTAGACACCGGAGTCCAAGCTCTGCCTCTCCTACCCCAGTCCTAGGAACCAGCCTCCTCCCTCAGATGCACGGGTCCCGGCCTAAACCTTGCTCTCTCTGGCCTACAGGACCGTGCCCAGCCCTCCTCCCTCATACCAAGGGGTCCTTCCCATCCCCCAGACCCAGGGCTCCAGTTTCCAGGCTCGCCCTCCAACCCCCTTGTGCTTTCTCTCCAGGGACATGTACAGCAAAAGCTCGGCGGCCATGAGCACGTATGCGGGCATTTTTACCGACCAGCTTTTTACTCTGCTAAAGGGCGAGTAATGCCGCGCAAACCCCGAGGTTAGGGGACGGGAGACCCGGGCCCTGGATCTCTTCATTCTCATCACCTGGCCAGGATGGTCCTCATTCCCCTGTCGCAGCAGCTCTTGTCTTCTTCTGCCTCTAGATTGAACTCTTTCAATGAAGGAATAAATCAGTCCCAGTTCATTGACTTTGGTGTGGCTTTTGTGTTGTGTTTTGTTTTCCCTGAGGCTCTCAGAGCCTAGATGGAGGGTCTTTGGAATCTAGCCAGTATTTGGTGAGTGTGGTTTTATGGTTAGCATCCTACATTCCATGTCTGGGGCTTTAACTCCAAACCTGGCCCACTGGAATATTAGTCAGACATCTGGGTTTGAACTTGCAAACCTAGCACTTGAGACCTGAGACAGAAGGACAATAGCAACTCTAGGTCCTGGGCTACAGAGTGAATTTTAGTTTTCTTTTTAAATTGTATTTATTTATTTAGTTTTTTAGACAGGGTCTCTCTCCATAGCTTTGGCTGTCCTAGAACTCGCTCTGTAGACCAGACTGGCCTTGAACTCACAGAGATGCTCCTGCCTCTGCGGAACAAGTACTAAGAAGGAGGAAGGCGCCTTTAATCCCAGCACTTGGGAGGCAGAGGCAGGTGGATCTCTGTGAGTTCGAGACCAGCCTAGACTACCAAGCGAGTTCCAGGACAGCCTCCAAAGCCACAGAGAAACCCTGTCTCGAAAAACCAAAAAAAAAAAAAAAAAAAAAAAAAAAAAAGAAGGAGGAAGGCGAGCACTACCACACTCCTTTTTTTTTTTTTTTAAATTTGCAGCAGGACTTCCGAGGCCAGCTTAGGTGGCAGTGTAAGATCTGTCTCAAAACAAACATACAAACAACACACACACAGACACATACACATATACATACACATACACACATACATATACACACGAAATTTTAAAATAACAAACAAATAATTTTAACCTCCCCTGCCCCCCCATCCAGATGTAGCAGTTGGAGCCTGCGTTTACAATACTCCCGAGTCCTGAAGTGGAGGCCGGGAAATCAGGACTTCAAGATTATTCTCCACTATATAGTGAGTTTCAAACCCGCCTGGGGTACATGAGACCCTATTTCAAAACCAAAGTCAAACAGGCGAACAAAAACAGGGCTGGCTAGGTGGCTCAGAGCACACAGGCAGTCCATCCCCAGAATCGAGTTGGGAGAGTAGACCCATTCCACAGAGCTGACTTCTGGCCTCCACGCGTATGCCGTTTGTGGCAGGTGCACACTCACTCACACACACACACACCATCGTATATACACTCCATGATAACAGTTCAGGGCTGGCCAGGCGGTGGTGGTGCACACCTTTAATCCCAGCACTCAGGGGGCAGAGACAGGGGGATCTCTGTGAATCCGGGTGAGTTCCAGGACAGCCAGGGCTGTTAAAAGGGAAACCCTGTCTTGAAAAACAGAACATGCCAACGGATGAAACCATTTTTATGGTTATAACCTTGTCATGTACTTCTTTTGTTTCGTCTCTCCACACTAGTGTCTAACAGGCGGCCAAGGTCCTCCCACCTCCCCCTCCTGGTGGACTTGAGGACAGGTCCACACCCCTCACACCTGTGCCCCATAGAGGGGACCCATGGCCTGGATTTCCCTTAATCTGTTCGGCAATAACCCACAGCCAGTCTTTCGATTCCCCGGGGCAATTTTCCCAGGTCCTGAGGCTGGGCAGCTGTGAGTCCAGTAAAAACCAGGACTGGGAAGGAGGGGTGGTGGAAGGCTCCCAAGTCCCCAGGGCCTGGGAAGAACTGAGGCTGCCAAACCCTGGGGGTGCCTGGGAGGGGGAGACGACGCAGGGGTAACAATTCCCGCTCTGTCCAGCGTTTCCCACAGACTCAAGCCAAAAGGAACCACTGCCCAGGCCAGTTCTGCTCTCAGCCAATTTCGGTGCCACCCCCAAATTCCTTTCTTTTCCAGATCCACAGCCACCTCCGTTTAGGACCCCACTCTCCAGGCTCCCAGATTCTGCCTCTCTAAGAACTGAGTGATCAGAAGCCTAGATGTCTCCTCCCTCAGACTTAGGACTCTGGATCTGGAGTCCTGTCTCCTGAACACTTAGAAGATGGGATGGGCCTGTCTTGAGTCTTAAACACAGTTCCTGGTGGAGTCGGGTGCCCCCTAATGGTGGGCAGAATGAGTCGTTCTGTGATCCACTTAAAAAGTTATGAATCGGATGGACGCTGAGTACAGAGACCTGTAATCTCAGTTTGTGACAATTTCTGGCCAGCCTCCACAACACAGTGAGAGCTTGTCTCAACAACAAAAGCCTGGGTGCTTGTTTGTTTGCTTTTTTGGAGCAGGTTTTTTTTTTGTGTGTGTGTGTGTAGCCTTTGTCATGGAAATTGCGCTGTAGACCAGACTGGCTTTGAACTCACTTGCCTCTGCCTGGGATTAAAGGTGTTCAAAACGCCTGGCTTTATGCAATGCTGGGTACTATCCAGGGTGTTATTCGTGTTAGACAACCACTACACTCTTTAGTCCTCATCGGAACATTACAAAACTTTACATTTAATTTTGTGTGTTTGAGAGTTTTGCCTGCATGTGTGTGAATGCCTGGCAGCCAAGGAGGTCAGCTGAGAACATCAGGTTCTCTATGGCTGTCACTACAGATGCCTGTGAACTGCTGTGTGGCTTCTCTGGCAGAGGAGCGTCCAACGCTCTTGACTACTGAGCCAACCAAGGCTCCAGCCTCCACCCGCACGCCACTACCTCCTGAGTGTTGGGAGTGAAGGAGTGTGCCACCGCCACCCAGCTTCATCTGTACACGTTTTTTTGCGGCTGGAGGGAGGAGGGGGTGGTGTTTCAAGACAGGGTTTCTCTCCGATCGCCTCTGTGTCCCGAGTGCTGGGATTAAAGGCGTGGCCACCACTGCTTGGCTCATCTGTACTTCTAGCGTTTTTTTCTTGCCATTGTGGACCCTTAGGTAAGTCACCTTCTGCACCCAGAGAGCTTGTTTTTTTTTCTTTCTTGTTTGTTTTTTTAATTCATTGACGATCTCTCAGAGCTGGGGACAACATCAGTGACCACAGTAATCCCAGGTCCGGCCTGTGCAATGCAGATAGACACACTCAATAGTGAGAGTATCGACTCTCAGTAGGCATAGGTGCCTGGAGGGCTTCCTGGAGGAAGAGGCACTACCACATAGCTAGGATCTAAAGGACAGGAGGGTAAGCAGGGAGTAAACGGTTGATGCTTACTTACTTACTTATTATGCATACAGTGTTCTGTCTGCATGCATCCCTACAGGCCAGAAGGGGGCACAAGATCTCATTACAGATGGTTGGGAGCCATCATGTAATTGCTGGGAATTGAACTCGGGATCTCTGGAAGAGCAGCCAGTGCTCTTAACCTTTGAGCCATCTCTCCAGTCCTTTATAGTAAAGATGTTTTGGTTGGGGCTGCAGAGATGGCTCAGCTGTTCTTCCAGAGCACCTGGGTTCCATTCCCAGCATCCACGTGGCCTGACTCCAGTCCCAGGGGACCTGGCGCCCTCTTCTGGCCTCCAAAGGCACTAAGTGCGCAGACGGTTTGCAACCATATGTCAAGACATAAAATAATCTTTAAATTTTTTTAGCGGGGCTGGAGAGATGTCTTAGCAATTAAGAGGCTTTGCTTCCATCTGACCAGCGTTCAGTTCCCAGCCCTCTAGTTTGGCAGTTCACAACTGCTTGTAATAGGTGTAGCTATGTAGCCCAGGCTGGTCTTGAACTCAAGAGATTTGCCTGCTTCTGCCTTCCAAGTGCTGGGATTAAAGTCGTTCGCCAACACACTCACTTCCTTTTTTGTTTTGTTTTTTTCGAGACAGGGTTTCTCTGTGGCTTTGGAGGCTGTCCTGGAACTCGCTCTTGTAGACCAGGCTGGTCTTGAACTCACAGAGATCCTCCTGCCTCTGCCTCTCGAGTGCTGGGATTAAAGGCGTGCGCCACCAGCGCCGGGCCCACACCCAATTCTTGATTGTGGTCCAACAGCCCTTTGGGAGATATTGTTGCTAATCTAAAATCTGAGAGAGTTTTGCTGCTAATTTGCTACCTTTGTAGCTAATAACATTTGAGACATTTTGTAGCTAATTAAAATCACGGAGCCCGGGGTGGTGGCGCACGCCTTTAATCCCAGCACTCCGGTGGCAGAGGCGGGTGGATCTTTGTGAGTTCGAGGCCAGCCTGGTCTACAGAGCCGAGTTCCAGGACAGCCTCCAAAACAATACAGAGAAACCCCGTCTCGAAAAACAAAAGCAAACAGAAAACTCGAAACAAGGAATCCTATTTCTGGGAAAAACAACAGCCTGGAAACAAGCAAATTCGTTGGCGCGCACGGGACGGAGCTCAAGCCTGGGGGCCGGAGAGCGGAGACCCCATGGGAGCGCACGCTGAGCCGCGTGGAAGTGGCGAGGGCGCTCCTTCCCGGGGCGGTGTCGTCGCTGAGAGCCCGGAAGCAGGGCTTGGGGACGCCCCGAGAGGCTCCCACCCAAGGCACTCGAGGACGAAGGCCGAGACAGAGGAGAGCGCGCCGGCAGGCACGGGTGAGGGGATCACCCCGTGAGTCCCGGACCCGCAGCTCCAAGACGGGGCGTCCCGCCCGAGGGGGCGTGGCCTCGAACCCTACGGTGGCCGGAGCAGCTCAAGAAGCAGCGACTGTCAACCGCGCTTGAAGCGGAGCCGATTGCTCGGAGCGACCGAAAAGCCCGGCCAGCTTCACCCGGGGTGGAAAAGTAGAACCTATGAGGCGAACATTGCAGACCGGAAAGCTAAGGCGCCTCAGAGCACTCACTTCCTGCTAGGTTAAAGGAAACAAACCCCACCCCCCCAATCACAAGCAGCCAGGCGGTGAAATGTTAGGGCGGAAGCGAAGGACGGCGGCCCAGACGGGCCTTCCCAGGGGGCGTGGCTCCAGGCGCTCCGTTCCGGGATACGGTAGCCTGGCGGGGGTGGGCGAAGCGCGAAATCTCGCGCGATCGCGCTGGTGCCGTCGGGGACGGGGCGGGGCTGGAGGCGGGGGCGGGGACCCGGAGCGGGAAGATGGCGGCGGCGCAGGAGGCGGACGGGGCCGGCAGCGCCGTGGTGGCGGCCGGGGGAGGCAGCTCTGGGCAGGTACGGAGGCCGAGAGGTGCCCGAGGGGACTCTTGCCCGGCGG